GTTTCTAAAGAGGAAATATGCCTACTGTTACTCCTGATAATTCCTTACAGTTCGTTCTTTTCCCTGCAAGGTGGCTGTTGTGTTTTGATAAAAATTGGTATTGTTGTCTTGGTGCTGGTCAAACATGTCCAAGAGAGATGATTCAAGTGTGTGGTTGGGGAGCAGGGAGTGGTGGAATGGATTTCATAAGCATCTGATGATGCAATTATTTCTGACCAGTTTCTTGAAAGTCGCCAGTTAAAACACTGGCTTTGATTTTGAAGTTACTAAACTTAGAAACTAACCAAACAATGGGAATAGGTTTACAGATATTTTTTATTGCATCTAGTCTCCTCTTCCTTAATGCTTATTTTTATTTCAAAAATGAAAGTAGCTTTTTTACCTTCTGGCTGTAACAAAGAAAAGGTCTCCTAACAGCCACTGGTTTTCTTATACTTTGGAAACCATATAGCTATTCTAGCTGTTACCATTTTTTTTTCCTTAATTGGGTGGATTGATACAGCATACAGAAGTGTTCCCTTTGGCTGTTTGACTGAAGGGTGTACATTGGATCACAGATGATACCAAAATAGATTTGGCTTTAAAAAAATAACATTTGATTCTACGGTACAGTTATTGTCCTGAAGCATCTGGGGCAGTTTGGGGAAGATATGCAACAGCAGATATTTTGCATGTAAAGCTTTTTGGTTTAAGCAGTGAATAACCTTGGGCTGGGGATATCTGAAGGACTAGTGCTGACCTATATCCTGTTGTGACAGCTGAGAGCAGCAGGTTGGAACTGCTGGATGAAATCCATACCCAGTTGCCCACTGTACTTTCTTCTTGTCACTACACAATGTCAAATCAAAGACACTTTTTTTTTTAACTGTTGCTTATTCTGGCTGTTTACTAATTTGAAGAGAAGATAGTGTTGCTGCCGTGGTAGTACAATGGGAAAAGTAATTGAAATCAGTGTCAGACTCTGACCAGTGTGAGCATCCACCCTACATATCTAGGCTGAGGTAGACTACAACTTCCAAATATAATAAAGTGATGCTTTCCTTTCTCATTAGCTATTTTGGAGCCTGCTGATTTTGTTGGATCTCTGTATCAAGTTGTAAATGGTGTGTGAAATAAAACACTTCTCAGTTGATGGATATAGTCCGCCTGATTTCAAATGCTCTTCAAATTGCTGTGGTATGCTTTGTTTAGACCAGACATGGAAGTCCATCTAATGCATAATTCTCACTTTAGAAAGGAGACAGAAAGGAGGCCAGTAGGAACTAATTTTTTTTTTTTTAATACTCAGGATGTGTGCGCGTATGTTGGTCTGCCTGTTGTCTTTTTTTTTTTTTTTTTTTAATTTTAAAAAAAGTTTTCTTTTAAAAATGATCTTCCTAATTTACATTCTTGTGATGATATTTTTCCAAACAGATATCTGAATAGTGGTACTGGGAGTTCCTTCATAGCCAGTGTTAGTTCCAACTCTTCTCCCAATTAAGAAAACAAAAATTAGAGACTTGAGAGTTACGTATGACTTGTCAGCAGCACATTGGCAGTCAAGGCAGGAATTCATTAATTCTTTACTCTAAGCGTGAGATTCATCTTCTGGTGATATGGTCTCAATAATTAAAAACCATCTCTTGTTAGCTTGTGAATCCTTATTGCATAACTTTCACTAAATGAGTATGTGCGTTAGATGTAGCAGGCTCAGGCAGGTTACAAATATGAGATGTCATCATAGTAATGGCTCTACAAAGAAAACTGAAGTAGTAAAACGAAGCATTTGCCACAGTGGAGTGTTTTTGTTGTGTACAGCCTCTCCACTAGGTTTTACAGAGAGGACCACTTCCCTGGTGAATGCTCGAAAAAGCCCTTGCTGATTAGAGATGATGGCCATCTCTTCTCTCTCTTGTTTTGATTCTGTTTTTGTTAAGCTGAGGAGCTGATGCCTGTTGTGTGCTGCTCTCCTTGGTCTCTAGTCTGGCATGCTCCCATTTCTAAAGTGAGATATACCAAAGCAGCTAATGGTAATTTGCATCTATGAAGTGCTGCTTTAAAGAAAAGAGAGATAATTTGAATGTGTGCACATGTGTTTGCTTTCTTCTAGTGGTTATGGGCTATTTGCTTTTCTTGTGATTAAGGACTGCCCATTCTATGAACGTGCTTAATACTTTGAAAACTTGGAAGAAGTGATGGCACCCCACACAATGTCAAAATGTGCGTTTGAAGTAAAAGCCCAGCAATTCAGATCTTCTGGTCTTGTTCATAGCAGGTAAAAAGCTGCCTTGATGACACTTAGAGCAAATGAATTTCTCTCCTGCAGTCATGCACTGAATAAATTGCTTGATCTGGTTTGGTATAAAAGGACATGATCTATAAATAGTTAACATAGCTTTCTTCAGGACAAGTGATCTATAGACTGGAATTCTCTCTTGGGGTCTTTTAAAAAAGTAAGTGCTGATATGAATAAAAGGAAAGTTTGTTTTTGTTTTTGTTTTTGGTTTTTTTTTTTTTTAAAAAGAGACCTTTTTAATGAGATTGAAACTCACATACTTAAACTTCTTTTTGAAAGCATGTGGCCAGCCACTTCAAAAGTCCAAAAAGCTAACCTTACAGTCATTTGAAGAAAAGAAGAAAAAAGGTCAGTGCATTAATCTGATGTGGCTATATTGTCAATAATTACAAGCTGAAAATGCAAGCTAAAACAACTGGTTAATTTGAATCAAAGAAACTATTGTTGCATTAGCATCAGTAAATTCAGTTTTTATTTGAAAGCTGCTGTTTGGGGCTTAAAAGAACTTCTCTTGATGACATTTTAATGAGTTTGTCAATACACTGCACTGTTGGCCACAAGGTCTGTCTGTCCTATTTGCTCTTTCATGCACTTTTTTTGGCAGCTAATCTTGCAGGTTTTTAAACTACTGCTAATTGTGATAAGCAAAACTTTGAAGACATTTTAGTGTGATGAAGAAACATCCATCTACCAAGTTTCTTCATGTGACATTCTCAGAAGAAAGCACAATTTCATTGAGATGAGGCCAGTCATCTTGAAAGTGATGTCAATGTGGGTTTCGCTGAGAAAGCCTGCATGACCTGTGCATGTAAAATTGGGGTTTTAGTGTCAGTGTTGTGTGCAGGCCAGGGTGATGATGGCGGCAAAGGGACTGGTGCATGTTGCTAGTGTGAATGTTAATCCTGTCAGTGTCTTCAGATATGTGCTAGTGTGTGTGTGCGGCACAGGTAGCACAAGGATCAGCATGAGCAAGTACACTGTGTGCAAATATGACTGGGCAGAGCGTAAGAAGCAGAGATACGACTGTAAGTGCTTAGGGGCCAGAAGGGTCTTTCACCAGAGTGAGAAGACGACCACCTATGTTTTTAGATTTGCTGTGAGTTTTGGGAGAGCAAATCATTCTATGCCTACAGAGAAGCTGAAAGCCAAGTATCCAGACTATGAAGTCACTTAGGTGGGTGAAGGCTACTGACTTAATTAAAAACATTTAAAATAGCATGGCGGGAGTGTGTTACAGACCACCTGATCTTGGTGAGGAAGTCGACTAAGACTTCTTTAAACAACTGGAGGAAATCTCTGTGTCACAGAACATGGTCCTCATAGGGGACCGCGACATCTTCTGGAAGGGCAACATCATGGGGTGCAAGGGGGAAGATTTCTGAAGAATGTTTGGGATAACTGGTTGATACTGGTACTGGATGGGTGAACTAGTGTTAACACAGCCTGATCTGCTATTCACTGTCAAGGAAGAACTGCTTGAAGACATGATGATCAATGACAGCCTTGACTGTGGCAACCATGAAGTAAATGGTTGGCGTTGAAGATCTTGAAGGGAGTGAGGAACGAGATTATCAGGATACAGACCCTGAGCTTCAGGCCAGTGGACTTCAGCTTACTCTTTTATTTATTTAGCAGGTGGCAGACAGCTCTGAAGAGCAAAAGAGCTTAGAAAGGCTGGCAGGTCTTTAAGTGCAAGAATACTCAGGAAAATAGGCACCTTTATCAGGAAAACAGCTTCATTAAGAACAGGTATAATGGCAGAGCTCCAGTGCAAAAAGGCAGCATTTGAGAGGTGGAAGCAGGTACAGGGTACAAATGAGGAATTTAGAAAAATTGTCTGGGCACTGATGGTTGGTGTTAGGAAAGCCAAAGCTTGCCTTGACAGTTGCAATGAATGTTGGGAGCAACAAGAAGAGCTTCTACCACTGCATTAGTAATAAAAAGCTGAAAAGGGGAAATGCTACATGAACAAAGGGATCACAAGTGATTTGATAACAGCAGACACAGATAAGCCCCAGACACCTAATGACTTCCTTCAGTCTTCACCAGGAAGGCCTCCATTATTAGTGAAGGAGTTCAGAGAGGAGGCAGATGCCGATCAAGTCAGCGGTTGGGAGAGTTCCAATGTATGGAAATCCATGGGACCAGACAGACTGCATCCAAGAGTGCTGAGAGAGCGGACTGATGTGGTAGCAAGACTGCACTCTATACCTTTGAAAGGTCGTGAAGATTGAGGGAGGTCCCTCATACTGGAGAAAAGCAAATGTTGCACCAGTCTTCAGAAAAGGCCAAAAGCAAACCCCATGGAACTGCGGCCTGGTCAGCCTTACTCCAGTCCTTGGGAAGATCATAAAGTGAGCCCTCTTGGAGCACATTTCTGGGCTCATAGAGGAGGTGATAGGGAACAGTCATCATGAATTTACTGAGGACTGATCAGCCTGACAGCCTTCTATGGATAAATTGACAGGATTTGTGGAGTAGGGGAGAATAGCGAATGTCATTTACCTTGACTTTAACAATTCTTTTGACACCGTCTCGCTCAAACAGATGGATAAAAAGCCAGTTGAGTGGTCAGGCTCAGTGGGTCATGGTTAATGGGTTGTACTTTACTCAGAGGCCACCAAGGGTCTGCAAGGGTATGTGCTGTGACCAGTCCTGTTCAACAACCTTATCAATGACCTGAAGGAGGCAATGGGAGTGGGCGGTCATAAAATTTACAGAAGACATGGAACTGGGGAAACTGCTTAATACAGTCAAGGGCAATGCTGCCACCCAGTGGGACCTAGACAGGCAAGAGGATGGGGCTAATGGGAACTTTGTACAACTAAATAAAGTCAATGTCTTTGTTGTGGACACAGTATCTAGATGTGGTCTGAGTTTTGAGTAGAGGGATCTAATCACTTCCCTCTGTCAGCAGACTATACTTCTGTTAACAAAGCACAGGACACTCTGAGGGTGGCAGAGCACTGGAACAGGCTGCCCAGGGAGGCTGAGGAGTCTCCTTCCCTGGAGATACTTAAAACCTGCCTGGATGCAGTCCTGTGCAGCCTCTCTAGGTGAACCTGCTTTAGCAGAGGGGTTGGACTAGATGATCTCCAAAGGTTCCTTCCAACCCCTACCATTCTGGGATTCTGTTAGCTGCCTTTGCTGCCAGGGCGTGCTGCTGACTCATTCATGTCCAGCTGACATGTCTCTCCAGATCTCCTTCTCCACAGAGCTGCTCCCCAGCCAGTCAGGTCCCAGCCTGTATCATTGCAATGGGCTCTTGCTTCCCACATGCTAGACTTAAAAATTTGTCTCGAATTTCACAAAGCTTCTATTAGTCCCTTCCTGTTGCTTGTCTGGCGCCCCCTGGACGGCAGCCCTGCCCTAGAGTGTGTTAACTGTTTGCCCCAGTTTTGTGCCATCTGTAAACTTGACAAGAGTGTCCTCTGTCACCTCTTCAGGGCGTGACCCTGAAAAATGTCAAACGCTTTATGGATAATCAGACCTTGGGTCACTGGCAATACAGTCCAAAGAACAGGAGGAAAAACATATACAGGAAGGAGCCTAACTAATAAGAACTGCCCACATGGGAAATCTTTATGGATTTCTTTGCGTTTATGGACAACAACATGTGAAATACTATCTGTTTGATACTATTTCCTAATGTGTCAGATATGACTCCCTTTTTATTCATGATACTTAAAGACAATGTGGGGGAGTTGGAGAAAATTATATAGGAAGACTCAATAATTGCCAAGACAACTCTGCAAATGCCCACAAGTGCTTACAGCCTCGAGGTGGCTGGTAATTTTCATCATAAGGAAGTGTGTTGTGGTTATTAGCTTTGGGAATATATAGATGCAAGGTAATGTTTGAGCTCTCCTGCTGGCTGGGAAAGAGTTTTTTTAACATTGAGGACTAGCAAAATATTTTATAAAATGCCTGGGGTTTCATGTGTTATGCTTCTAAAGGAAGCCTTAGACTCATCAGCCCCATAAAGACTGCAAAAGGTAAGGGACAATAGCTTTGGCACAGGAAAGTTTTCACTTGCCTTTCTTATTCCATGTGCTTCTCCATTAGCAGGACAGTAGATTAGATGAGAATTTCAGGAATTTTATGAAAACTGTTTCGGAACCAAAAGCTGCTTTGTCCAACTCAATTTGGCTTAGTCTGAGATCACTGCAGACTGTTACTGAATACTGCAGCCTACAGCTGGACCTTTTATTGCCACACTGTGCCCGCCCCCTCTTCTGCACAAGAAGCAATGCCTATCCTGTACCTGACTCATAAAAGTGAAAAGAATCTCCTTCCTATTTTGACCTGGGTGATGATGTTTCGGAGTAGTGGAGGTGAAGAGGCTTCTGTATGAGACAGTTACTTCTCCCAGAGAAGAGGACATTTTACTTTGTGTAGGCTTAAGTAAAGTCCTCAAACATGTATGCTGCCTCACGTTTGCAATGGTGATGCTTGTCACCATTGTTCCTTCCTTGCGGGTTGATTTTTCATGTTTCTGTTTGTAGAGACTTTGCTGCCCACTGGATGTGTCTTAGATTTACGGCTAAATTAATGCCAGTTGAAGTGATTGGAGTCTATGATACTAAATATTCATAAATCTCCTGTGAATAGTAATGTCTGTTTTCCTGAAGGATAACATCTTCATGGGCGGCTGTCTTGATCAGAGGAGGATTTCAGCATGGCAGGTCTGCAGAGGGGTGACTTTTCATTTGGTTGATCTGATTGACGAGGGAATGCCATCACTTCTGCTATAGCAAGAGGTAGAATTAAGGGGTGTAAGGAATCAGGGTAGGGGTGGCATAACCCAGTAGTTAGGGCCAGAGCTCTCTAGGCCAGGAGTTAAACCAAAAACATCAAGTTAAAGTTGAGTTAAACACCATGCTGGGAGGCAAAATTTGAACCATGGGATTAAGTCAGCAGTCTTAAGTTAGTCAGTCTTGAGGCTGGCATGAGGAACTTCAGGCAGAATGTTTTGAAGCATCAGGCAGGAAACAAATGCTTGAGCTGCCCTCCAGTCTCCTGGAAAACCACCTTCGTTTCCAGGAGGAAAGAAGTGACATGTGCCAGATGTATGTGAGACTCTGCATTAGTAAATTAACAGGGCTGTAACACTCAGGCTTGTGCTGCCTCCTTTAATTGCCTGACATGCATATAGAATGCCAAATGATGTTCTCTAAAGGAAACTGAATACAGATTATGCTTTGCAGCTCTTTGCACTATTGGTTAGCTGGTACCTATCATGCTGAACATCAGGAACTCAGTTCACAAGAGGTGAAGGGGCTGCTACTTGTGTAGTTCAGGTGCATGCCAGTGAAAGTCTGCAAAGTTGAGACAGTAGAATAAGCTGTTGACCTTTTTCTAGCATTGTGTCTTGGACTTGTCATTCTTCTTTCTGAGACCTCATTTACAATAGCTGTTGAGTGGGAAATAATTGTGAAGGAGGACCACGGCTGCTTTTATCTTTTATGCCCTTATACAGGGACAAACAATCCTATTTAAAAAAAACCCAATCCACTACACCACATTGATGTAGTGCAGCAGTGGTTCAAACGACCATAGTTACTATAGAGTAATTCCCCCCTCCACACAACATGATGTGCGTATGCGCACATACGTACACGTGCATACACTTGGAACTGAGTATTGAGGATAAAGACTATGTACCTGTGGTGTAAAGCGCAACGTGGTCCACTGCGTGAATGATTTGACTGGGATCCATACAGTTCAAGTGTTAGTAGTGCCCACTGAGTGGTGATTTGTTCCTGACTGTCTTATGAGCACAGAAACAAAATAAAACAGGGAATAGTCAATGTAACTCTTTATTAGACATCCCCATGTCCCCCCTTCACCGCCTCACAAGACTAAAGCAAAAAGGCCCTGGTTTTATTGCAGTATGCAGGTTCTATTAGCGTATCCATTGCTAGAGGAGGAATGAAAGTAAATGCAAACTCCTGACAAGTTCTTCGAACATCTTCTCTATTCCCCTGCCTCCACCAACTAACCTTGTTAGGTTGTGGCTGCCGAGCTGCAGAAGGAAGATTTGCTCGATTAGGTAAAGCATTGGTTGGATTTCAGCCCCCATCTGGTTTTTGTTTTGTGTTCCGCCTCCCCCTTCTGCTTTCCCCTCATTTCTAGTGTAACAAGCTCACTACATAATAAATCTCTTACCCTCAGTCTTGTTCATTTTCTTCGATGGGTTGACCTCCTGAGTTTGTCATTCTCCCTGTTAGAGCAGAGATAGCCAACTTCATTGTCATCCCCTTGGCTTCACATCATCTTCCCCAGTTGCACATACTGTGGTGAGCCCCAGTTGAAAGCAGCTAAGAGCCTGTAGCTCTGTTCTGTGAGAAGACTGCTGCGGTTTACTGGGGTATGCCGTTATGCCTTAGTTCAATTAACACTTCCCTGCCCCCCCTGCCCTTTAGTCTTTCTTGAATGGGGAAAACATACTAGAGTCAACATATTGTCTGCTGGTTTTTGTTTTGCACATAAGCAGCTATAGTATTCCTAGAGTGCCAGGGTTCATTTAGACCTGCCATCTGACTGCTTGCATCTTTTCTTTCAGGGTGGTTTCCACCAGAAAATTTTTGATACTAATGTAATCTGGAATCGATGATGGCTAGACTTGTATAGACCATTGCAAGGGATTTTAAACAGGTCATTTACCTCTGGTTTGTTCATCTGTACAGTGACAAAAGAGCTAATGATTGAACTGAATTTGTTGTGGAGGTATCGACTTGTATCTTGCCACTGGAATACCCTTCATTAGGACTATAGATATCGGCTATGGATTTTCTGTGAGGCTGTGTGTAAATCCCACAGTGCAACAGTGGGAAGTTTTTTTTTGATGGCCAGTGGCCTGGTATGCTTTCATAGCATCTCGCCTTCTTTCCTGGAGAAAAATGGTAAATGATGTTTTCAGACTCAGGCTTCAATGCAGACGGTCTTTCTTTGGTTATAGTGATAGTGACAGACAGCTTTTAAAATAATTACCTTACTGAAGTTCAGTTGCTAATCAAAGAGAGATGAGACAGAGCACCGGGTTTGCTTTTCTCTGTTTGGAAAGTCTTTTTCAGATGTTTCTGCTGTTCTCAATAAAGACAGTATTTGCTGATTCAGGTTGGCTGAGAGCAGGCTAGGCTCACCCGTGTGTTCCAGCTGCTTTGCAGTGCTCTGGCAATGCAAACCAGCTGCAGGTCTGGTTTAACTCGAGCCAGGTTTGTGGCTGGTTTGCATCACTGGAGCAGTGTAAAGTACCTGAAGCATGCCAGCTAATCTGGCCTGTTGGTGAACCATTATAAATTACTTGTTTTTCTTCGTGTTCTTTACATGTAACTTTATTTATAGTTAAAGCCCACAGAAATTGAGTAGATTGTATCACTAAAAGACGGATTTTGTGTTCTAAACTAAAGTCTATAAAATTAGAGGTTTTTAAAGTTAGAGCTTTTTTCTTCTTCAGTGAAATAAAATTATCAAATTACACATTGCTCCTCTGCACTTCTCTGTTATGGATTTCTTTTAAGTTGCACTAAGATTACAGTTGCCTGTTCTTATTATAAGATGAAATAATCGTTAGTCTGAAATCTAAAAGAGTAGGCTTTATAATTTTTATTTTGCAAAATGTGGGCTCAGCTTTTATTCTAAATGCAGTAATTTTCCTCTAGTTTACTGAGAATGTATGCGATATTTGTGCCATCAGTATTGCCTGTGATTTACTGATTGGAAAATATTTTGGAGATTTTGAAAGAGGAAGGAAATCAGCCAACCATGATTTTTCTTCTGTTTATAGTAAAATACATAGCTGAAATAATTTTTACCTACCTTGGATAGCATGACGAGTGTTCAAAACATGCCACAAATATTAATCATTAATTATACTCGTAATTTTTTTTCATAATCCAGCTCTTCCTCTGAGGCTTTTACAATGTTGAATGTGTGATGTGTGTTTTTTAAACAGTATTATACAATAGAAGAATGACAGAAGTGTCATTACAGCTACTCTGATCTACATTTTCTTCAGAATTCGGGATTCTTGCTCTTCATCTAGAAATGTTTTTGTATAAAGGTTATGGGATGATTTTTAAAAAAGAATTATTTTTGGATAAATGTATTGGCATTCAAGTCAGAAATCGTATTCGTCTGATGAGCTGTATATTGGAAGAAAACATGACAGAATTTATGAAGTTTTTTTCTAGACTTTGAGGCAAAACACCAAAGAATTAATTACTGCCTCATATTAATTAAGATAACAATGCAAAACCCTTCATTAGAAGCATAGGAAAAGTTCTTCCTTGGTCCTTGGAGAGAATATTATATGCAAGCCCTGTTGTGTGGGTTGCAAGGTGTCACTGGAATTTATATGCATTACTTGTCTAATTGCAGTAAATGTAGCATGTCCAGATAGGTTTAAAAGTTGGATGGCTGTTTGTTACTTGCTGGAAATCACTTGAAACCTTGCTACTCGGAGGCAGCTGTTCACAGGTCCTTCACCTCTCCCCAGAGATAGCTGGAAGACTCTGTTGTTGGACCCTGTCTTTTATGGCAGAAGCAGTAAACATGACAGGTTGTTTGGGAGCCATCTGTTTTAAAATGGTTGCTGCTTTGTATGCAGTAATGAACTTGAGATCAGTTTTCTGTCTGTCTTCATAGTAACAGCCTTGTTTGGTGTCACAACAGGTGGAAGTTGATGGGATGAAACTAAACGTGACCAGCGAGTGGAACCTGGCTTCACCCTTATTGTCTGTCACCATTGATGGCACGCAGCGGACTATACAGGTAAACTCACCAATGCTTCGTTCGTAGACCTGAGATAACCAGAAGCCTGTGGGTATACAAATACTGATATGTGGGATCTAAACTTGCTGCATCATAAAAATTACGTGATGTTGTGCAAATAACATTATCTTTCTACTTTGAATGCATCCAGAGCTTCAGTGGAGTGAACTTGTCTCAATTACTTATCTGGAGTTTTGAGTATTCTTTCTTCTAAAGAGAAGTTACTTGTTTTAGACAGAAATTTATCCCATTTTCTAGAATCTGTTTATTTAATGGCTGTGAGGAGATAGTTTCTTGATCACTGAAGAAATAAAGAAGGGATCACTATAAAAAAAAAAAAAACAGAACAAAATGAACAAACAACCTCAAAACAAAACTGAAACCACTACCAACAAAAAAACCACCACCAACAAAAAAACCCAACCAAAACCTACGTGGAGTCCTACAGAAATGATTCTTCATGTTTGGGTCGTGTGATTTTTCCACTTTTGGGCCTTGGCAGTTTGAAAGACAGAGGACAGTGCATCTCCCATGTAACGTGGTTTTTTATATGCTTTTATGAAATATGATTAGTTCCATGATTTGAAATGAGAAATGTAGAAAACATCCCAAAGTTGTGTGCCTCTAAGAATAGAGGGCTAAAAAGATTAATGTAGTTGTATATTATTTCCTTCTGACCACTAATGTGTTGGAAACCAACTCCAAACAAAAGAGTGTGCCTTGAACCGCCTTATCAATTTTTCTGAAGATAGTGCCAGTCAGATTTATGTATTTGTGGACAAATAATTTATTTACAAATATCTATTGGTCCTGGTAATAGCGAAAGGAGAAAAAAAATTAAAATCAAAACTTTTGGAGTTATTGAAAGTATTTTTCTACATACAACATTATCTATTTCCTATACATTTATCAGTGATATAGTGGTGAGATTTCTAATAATTTACAGTGAAATGTGTGAATTAATTTTTTTCATTTTCCCTCCTGGTAAATTACTCAACTGGAAATACTATTTTTGCTTTGTCTGAATTTAAAAGATTGCAACTTGAAGATTAAAAATACTGTATCTTTCAAGGTTAGTGTTGACAGAGAGTGAGATTTTCATTAAATGCCCAAGTAAATTCTGAACTTAGGTGTTGTAGATGCTTAATGCCAGCTTCAGGGCTTATGTATATCTAAAATAATTTTATATTTTAACGTGTGTTTTTATATTTTAATATTAATGCTGGTCCATTTTGGTGCTATTTTATAAATGATGTTCCTGATTTTCAATAGGAAACAATACTGATGTATAAACACATAAAATCTGTCTAGGAGAAAAGCATTATATTTAGAATGGATAACCATATTCAGAAGACCTCATTGCAAACTATATAATAACTATACAGCTGGATACAGATCTCCGACCATAACTAATAGTCGTAAGACCAGTTAAAAGTGTTGTATTTGAACTGGCACATAAAATTCTGTTTCAAAATTAATGATCGTGACATCTAAACATGCTTTCTTCTAGGAGCTGAGCCAGCAATAGTGTTACTTGCAGTCCCTGAGCATGACCAAACTGTATGAAATACTGCAGGGCTAGCAATGAGCTGCCTGCATGGTATCTATCCGACAGAATGTGGAATAAGCACATATGTTGTTTCTTTCTCCGATTTTATCTATAAGTATTTGCTTTTAGCAAAGAAACCCAGTAGCTTGAAAAGTTATTAATCTTTTAGTGTATATATGTAAATTTATGGGAACCTTAAACTTGACCTCTGATATCCGCTCACTGGAATCTAAATTGGTTTTTTGGTTATATATTTCTGTAGAGTTGCCCCACTGCAAGAACCAAATTAGACAAGTGTATTCCTGTAGGTCAATTTGTCTCCAAAAGCAATTGACCCCTGAGTCTTGAAGTATCTTCTTTCAG